ATTTTTTAGTACTATAAACCATTCTATTTGGAAATGGAGAGAAAAAGAAGGCTTCAAAAGAAAAATTAGGAACAAAATTTTAGACCCTGGTGATTGCTTAGATATGGGAAATGGAGAAGAGGAAAATGTCAAATTTCACTCTGAAATTTCACTCTGGCTTGGTTGAGTGAGTGGAAAATGCTATTAACAGAGATCAGAGGAGGGGAAGGTTTTGGTCAGTGGAATAAGCTTAGTTTGGAGACACTAAAACGGATCTCACTCCTTGATTTCTGACTGTATCTGGATCACGGTGCCAGGAATACTGAGCAGGGCATGTCCCTGAGTTGCAAGCTCAGCAGTAGACTGTAAGGCCAAGGCAGTCTAGGGAGACAAAGCAATGCTAGAAAGATCATTCCTTTAGCAGTTTACCAGTCTAGTAGTTTTTTTGTTTGTTTGTTTGTTTGTTTTGAGACGGAGTCTCACTCTGTTGCCCAGGCTGGAGTGCAGTGGCTGGATCTCAGCTCACTGCAAGCTCCACCTCCTGGGTTCAGGCCATTCTCCTGCCTCAGCCTCCCCAGTAGCTGGGCCTACAGGTGCCTGCCACCATGCCCGGCTAATTTTGTGTATTTTAAGTAGAGACGGGGTTTCACCTTAGCCAGGATGGTCTTGATCTCCTGACCTTGTGATCCGCCCGCCTTGGCCTCCCAAAGTGTTGGGATTACAGGCGTCGCCACCACGCCCGGCGTAGTGTAGTAGTTTTACCAGGCAACCTCAAAATAACTGGCATTTAGGAAACGGGGGGAAAGGGAAGTATCATCCCTGAGCTCCACAGCGTTTTGCTGGAGTGAGAGCTAGACGGAAAACACCAGGGAAGCCCATCACATAAGCACACTACAGGGGGAAGAGGGGGAAGAGGGAAGCTTAGCCAGCACTCTAGGTCCCAGTGTGTTCAACTCAGACAGAGGAGCCACTGAAAGGGGAAGAACAAGTGATGCCCTTGCAAACAGTCACTTGTGGGGGAGACACTCGCCTTATTTCAAAAAAAACTAGCAAGGGGTGGAGTTGACATTTTTTCTACATATCAGGCTCTCAGTTAGGAGCTTTATGCACATTATTTTATTGAATCTTCGAAACTTCTCAGGCAGGAAAGCATTATTCTTCCTACTCAGGCAGGTTAACTTGATCAAGTTAAGCCAAATTAATCCTTGAACTAGGATTCAAGGATACAGGTCTATCTGACTTTGAAGCTTATTCACATTTCATTATATCAACTACTTAAAAAAAATATACTAAAAAGTTTCATCTTTCATTTTTAAAATGACGCTACCGGCCAGGCACAGCGGCTCATGCTTGTAATCCCAGTGCTCTGGGAGGCCATGGCGGCAAGATCCCTTGAGGCCAGACTAGCCTAGGCGACATGGTGAGACTCCGTCTCTACAAAAAATTTGAAAAATTTAAAAATTAGCTGGGAGTGGTGGCACATGCCTGTAATCCTGGCTACTGAGGAGGCTGAGGCGGGAAGATCACTGGAACCCAGGAGTTTGAGCCTGCAGTGAGCTATGACTGTACCATTGTACTCCAGCCTGAGTGACACAGCGAGGCCCTATCTTTAAAATAAATGAATAAATAAAAATGATGCTATCTCATCAAGGAGACTGTTTCTGAACTGGGTGTTTCATTGGCCAGAGAGAGGTTATGTTTGCAGTAACCCAGTCACAAAGCCTCAATTAACAGGCACAAGGAATATATTTACCAGTCGTGTATCTGAAGCTAAGGAGGCCATCAGTACCATGAAGCCTCATTAAACAACACATTCTGAATTGACCAGCCGCCAACACAGTATGCCTATAACTATGATGTGAGTGACTTTGTGAGGATAACCCCACTACTAAAATTAAGTTTTGATTGAAGTTTTGGTTAAGAGGCAATCATAAAAAGAGTAAAAGACAGGAAAAGATTCTGCAAAGGAGGTATCCTACTGCCCTGGATGACAGGCACAGAATGCTATGAAATTGATTCACTATCTTATGCATTCCTTTGTTACTATTAGCACAGTGAGAGGCAGCATAGTGTAAGTATTAAAAGTACAGACTCGGGCCAGGCACGGTGGCTCACACTTGTAATCCCAGCACTTTGGGAGGCCGAGGCTGGTAGATCATCTGAGGTCAGCAGTTCGAGACCAGCCTGGCCAACATGGCGAAATCCCGTCTCTACTAAAAACACAAAAAATTAGCTAGGCGTCGTGGTGAGCACCTGTAATCCCAGCTACTTGGAAGGCTGAGGCAGAAGAATTGCTTGAACCCAGGAGGCGGAGGTTGTAGTGAACCAGGATGGTGCCACTGCACTCCAGCCTTGGCGACAGAGCAAGACTCTATCTCAAAAAAAGAGAAAGTATAGACTCTTGGGCCGGCATGGTCGTTCACGCCTGTAACCTCAGCACTTTGAGAGGCCGAAGCTGGAGAATTGCTTGAGCCCAGGAGTTTGAGATCAGCCGAGGGTAACATAGTGAGACCCTGTCTCTAAGAAAAGGACAAAAAGAAAAAAAAAAGCGCAGACTCTGGTGCCGAACTGCCCAGATCTGAATCCAGTTCTGCCAGGGATTTGCTGTACAACCTTGGCAAGTTACTTACCCGTCCATTTCTCAGCTTTCTCATCTGTGCCACAGTGATAACAGTAGTACCTACTGCATACAGTAGTCATAGGATTAAAGAAGTTAATGCAGTATTCATGTCTTAATAACTTAAAACAATACCTGGCATGTGGTAAATAGTGTTTGTTACATACATTAAAAAAGTAACTAACTCAGGCCGGGAGCGGTGGCTCATGCCTATAATCCCAGCACTTTGAGAGGCTGAGGAGGGTAGATCACGAGGTCAGGAGATCGAGACCATCCTGGCTAACACGGTGAAACCCCGTCTCTACTAAAAATACAAAAAACTAGCCAGGCGAGGTGGCGGCGCCTGTAGCCCCAGCTACGCAGGAGGCTGAGGCAGGAGAATGGCGTGAACCTGGGAGACGGAGATTGCAGTGAGCCGAGATCGCACCACTGCACTCCAGCCTGGGCAACAGAGTGAGACTCCGTCTCAAAAAATAAAAATAAAAATAAAAATAACCCAGCCTCCCTCACATGAAGTGGTGCAGGGAAATCAAAACAATCCTAAAACGTGTTTAGAATTTACATGTGACCTCTTGCATGAGGCATTTCACAGACATCTGTAAGAAGAATAAATAGACAAATAGGCAAAGCAGAAACCGAAATATGGAAAAGGGAAGTAAAATGTTCAGTTTCACTTAGTACAAATCATTCTCAGATCTCAGGCAGGGGCCCCAAAGTCCTGTTAGTCCAGGTTTTGTTCAACAGGCCACTTTGCACATAAAAGTAGAGCCACCCTTAAAAAGAGCAAGTCTTCACTCAGGATCACTCAGGAGCGTCTCATAATCTTCCCTTGTTGGTGTTTTCTCAGAGGTAAATAATCTGCTTCTAGGTTTTGGACCCCAGCTGCTCCTGAGACCATCATTATATCTGAAACTGTCTCTAAATGTCAAGCGAGGTCAGGCCTGGTGGCTCACACCTGTAATTCCAGCACTTCGGGAGGCCGAGGTGGGGGAGAATCGCTTGAGCCCAAGAGTTAGAGACCAGCCTGGGCAATATGGTGACAGCCTGTCTCTACAAAAGAAGTTTTTAAAATTAGCCAGGTGTGGTAGCTGGCACCTATAATCCCAGCTACTTGGGAAGCTGAGATAGTAGAATCGCTTGAGTTCAAGAGTTGGAGGCTGCAGTGAGCCTTGTTCACGGCACTGCACTCCAGCCTGGGGGACAGGGTGAGACCCTCTCTCAAAAAATAAAACAATAAATGTCAAGTATGACTCCCTCATGCCACATCCCGGCTCTCGCCTGTCAGCATTCCAGTCTGCTTCAAAGATTAAGACCAGAGTTATTAATGAAGCAAACCCTAAATATGGAAATCATCTCTACAGACTCCGATTCATCATTTAGCCAAATCAGTTTGGTGTTGTTTCGGTTTTTTGTTTTCTGAAGACAGGGTCTTCCTCTGTCGCCCAGGCTGGAGTGTGGGGTGCGATCTCGGCTCAACGTAGCCTCCACTTGCTGGACTCGGGCGATCCTCTCACCTCAGCCTCCCGAGTAGCTGGGACCACAGCTGAGCACCACGACGCCCAGCTACTTTCTGTGTTTTTGTGGAGACGGGGGTCCCCCTGGGTTGCCCAGGCTGGTCTCAAACTCCTAGACTCAAGCGACCCGCCTCGGCCTCGCCCAAAGTGCTGGAATTACTGGTGGGACGCACCGCACCGGTCCACACTGGTCTTTCTATTTTATATCCCCCCGTGTCTAGAAGACACGAACTCTGACAACGGCTCCACATAAATACACGTGAACTTGCTCAGTTTGCGTCGTGAGGAAGAAGTGACAGGTGTGAAGACGAAAGGAAAGGACACCGGTCCTGCCACTCTGACAGCGACTCGCCGATGACAAAGGGCAGAGTTTCGGGTCCGTGGCCGCCCCCCCCAACGCCATGACACCCGCTCCGTCTCCCCGGGCTCCCCTCGCCTTCCTCCCCGCGCTCGCTCCGCCTCAGCTTCTTCCTGAGCCACGCACAAGGCTTCACTCCGCTCCCAGGGGTTCTCCCGCACCCTCCTTTCACGTCGGCCCCACCTGCAGCCGGCAAGTTTCCGTCAGGGCGGGCCCGGCCCCAGCGCAGACGCCGGCCTGCGAAGCCTCACCCACCGCCCTGCAGCCCTCCGGCCTCTCCGCCGTCGCTCTCGGCGGCCGCCTCCCCTCCCGCAGTCTTGGCCCTGAGCTGCACCCTCCTCCGCTCCCCCGGCCCTCCGCAAATCCCACCCGCCCGCCCCTCCTCTGCGAAATGCTTCCCAAGCACGTCCTCCGCCGCCGGCCTCAACACTCGTCGCGCCCGGCCCTTCTCTCCGCGGCCCCGCGCCCTCCCAAGCCTCCCGGGGCTCCGGCGCCTGTCGCTGCCCCGACTCCGCGGCCGCTCCCAGCCCACCTGCTCTCCTCAGCCAGGCGCTCCTCGCCGCCCCCGAGCTCCATTCCCGCGCCCTCCGGCCGCATCCGGGGCGGCCAGGCCGCCTCTTCGCCCAAGACAGGCGCCCCCGCCGCTTCGCCCTTCAGGGCTCCCGGGGGGCCCCTGGGGCCGGAGGAGGCACCCACGGCCGGTGGGCTCCGGGTGATGCGCTACACACGGGCGGCGGCAGCGGCGGCAGACACAGCCGCCTGGGTTGCGGCTTCTATCCCGGCCACCCCCACTTCCGGCTCCGGGGACTACAGCTCCCGGCAAGCCCTTCGAGACCAGGCCGCTCCCGCAGGCCGCGCCCTCCAATCCCAGGCCGCGCCCTCCAATCCCAGGCCGCTCCCGCAGGCCGCGCCCTCAATCGGGCGCGCTCGCGGACGCTCCTCCAACCCCAGGCGGCTCCCGCAGGTGCCCGCACCCTCAATCCCAGGCACCTCCGCGGGCTGCGCCCTCGAAATCCCGAGCCGCTCTCAGGCCACCCTCAGCCCCAGGCCGCGCTGGCGAGCCGCCGCCCTCAATCCCAGGCCGCTCCCGCAGGCGCGCCCTCAATCAGGCCGCGCTCCTCAGGCCATCCTCAATCCCAGGCCGCGCTCGCAGGCCGCGCCTCAATCCCAGGCCGCTCCCGCAGGCGCGCCACTCAATCCCAGGCCGCGCTCTCGAGCCACGCCCTCCAGGCCGCTCCCACACACAGGCGCCCTCAATCCCAGGCCGCGCTCACAGACCGCGCTCCTCCAGCGCTGAGCGGCTCCGCAGGCCGCACCCTTCAATCCGGGCACCTCCCGCAGGCTGCCCTCCCGGCCCCAGGCCGCTCCCGCGGGCGGCGCCTCAATCCCAGGCGGCGCCCTCAGTCCCAGGCTGCTCCGGCGGGTGGCGCCCTCAATCCCAGGCGGCGCCCTCAGTCCCAGGCCGCTCCGGCAGGCAGCGCCCTCAATCCCAGGCGGCACCCTCCAGTCCCAGGCCGCTCGACGAGCAGCGCCTCAATCCCAGGCTGCTCCGGCGGGCGGCCCTCCAACCCCGGAGGGCTGCTCCGGCCGGCAGGCGCCCTCCCAATCCCCGGGCGGCGCCCTCGGCCCCCAGGGCCGCTCCCGCGGCGCGCCCTCAATCCCAGGCGCGCCCTCAATCCCAGGCCGCTCACGGCGGCGCCCTCAATCCAGGCGCGCCCTCCAGACCGCTCCGGCCGGGCGGCCTCAATCCCAGGCGCTCCGGCAGGCGGCCCTCAGCCCAGGTATGGAAGGCGGCGCCCTCAATCCCAGCGGCGCCACTCCAATCCCAGGCCGCTCCACGCCGGCGGCGCCCTCAATCCCAGGCTGCTCCGGCGCGGCGCCTCAATCCCAGGCGGCGCCCTCCAGTCCCAGGCAGCTCCGGCGGCAGCGCCCTCCCCAGGCCGCTCCCGCAGGCCGCGCCCTCCAATCCCAGGCCGCGCTCGCAGGCTGCGCCCTCCAATCCCAGGCCGCGCTCGCAGACCGCGCTCCTCCAACCCCAGGCCGCTCCCGCAGGCGGCGCCCTCCAATCCCAGGCGGCGCCCTCCAATCCCAGGCCGCTCCGGCAGGCGGCGCCCTCCAATCCCAGGCGGCGCCCTCCAATCCCAGGCCGCTCCGGCAGGCTGCGCCCTCCAATCCCAGGCCGCTCCGGCAGGCGGCGCCCTCCAACCCCAGGCTGCTCCGGCAGGCGGCGCCCTCCAATCCCAGGCGGCGCCCTCCAATCCCAGGCCGCTCCAGCACGGCCTAATCCCAGGCCGCGCTCGCAGACCGCGCTCCTCCAACCCCAGGCGGCTCCCTGTGCCGCACCCTCCAATCCCAGGCACTCTCCCGGGCAGGCTGCGCCCAATCCCAGGCCGCGCCCGCAGGCCGCACCCTCCTAATCCCAGGCCGCGCTGGCAGGCCGCGGCCCTCCAATCCCAGGCCGCTCCCGCAGGCCGCGCCCTCCAACTTGCGGCCGCGCTTCGCAGGCTGCGCCTCCAATCCCAGGCCGCGCTCGCAGGCCGCACCTCCAATCCCAGGCCGCCTCGCAGGCCGGCCTCCAATCCCAGGCTGCGCTCGCAGGCCGCACCCTCCATCCCAGGCCGCTCCTGCAGGCCGCGCCCTCCGATCCCAGGCCGCGCTCATGGACCGCGCCTCCTCCAACCCCAGGCGGTTCTTTCGCAGGCCGCACCCTTCAATCCCAGGCACCTCCCGCAGGCTGCGCCCTCCAACCCCAGGCCGCCTGCAGGCAAGCCCTCCAACTTGCGGCGGCGCCCTCCAATCCCAGGCTGCCCTGGCAGGCGGCGCCTCCAACCCAGGCAGCCTCCAATCCCAGGCCGCTCCGGCAGGCGGCGCCCTCCAATCCCAGGCGGCACCCTCCAACTTGCGTCACCCGCAGGCGGCGCCCTCCAATCCCAGGCTGCCCTGGCAGGCGGCGCCTCCAACCCCAGGCTGCCCGCAGGCGCCTAATCCTTAGGCGGCGCCTCCAACTCCCAGGCCGCCCCGCAGGCGGCGTTTCAACCCAGGCGGCGCTCCAATCCCAGGCCGCTTCCGCAGGCGGCGCCCAATCCCAGGCGGCGCCCAACTGCAGGCCGCTCTCGGGGCAGGCGGTACCTCCAATCCCAGGCTGCCCGCAGGCGGCGCCCCAACCCCAGGCTGCCCTGGCAGGCGGCGCTCCACCCCAGGCGGCGCCTCCAATCCCAGGCCGCCCCGCAGGCGGCGCCTCCAATCCCAGGCTGCCCGCAGGCGGCGCCCAATCCCAGGCGGCGCCTCCAATCTCAGGTCAGCCCGCAGGCGGCGCCCTCCAATCCCAGGCTGCTCCGGCAGGCGGCGCCCTCCAATCCCAGCCGCGCTCGTGGACTACGCGCACCCAGTGGCTGGATGGGCCGGCTCGCGAGCGGCGGGGGACGGTGGTCTCAGGGATCCGTGTCGGGGCGGGCCCGTATTTACCCGCGTCACATTACACGCTGGGGACCGAACTCAGTCCGAGATGTAGACTAGGCAATAACGCTGATCTAATCCCGGCACGATTAACCCCACCTAGGCCGCCCTGGCCTAATGTCCGCCGCTGGTGTTTGGAGATCTCGAGCATTTAAATGAAGCGCTCGCAAGTAAGAGCACAGGTTGCTCTGGATCGAGGAGAAAGGCTTCGGGGGCTCTCGGAAGAGGGATGTCAGCGCAGAGTTCTGACGGCTGAGTACGGGTCGGCCAGGAGCGAGAAGAAGGCGGAGAGAGCAGCGCGGCAGAGGGAAGGAGGGAAGTGCGGTTTGGGGACCGCAGGTGCTGGGAGCCGGAGCGGGGACGGAGCCGCAGCAGCGTGGTGTGGGCGTTCCGGTGTGGGGAAACCAGGTCGTGAAATGCCATGTTAAGGAGTTTGGATTGTATCCTGAAAACAATCAGCAAATCAAGTATATGCAAATCAAGAAGTGATTTGCTCGAATCTGATGAGAAAACCACTTTTGACAATGTGGACAGGAGATGGGGAAGACATAGCACTATATTGAGGTAAGGGTGGAAGGCTGGATAGAGGAGACTGGGCGTCCTTAGGAAGTGAAGCGAACCAGTTGAAAGAAACATGTGGGCCTAGGGTTGCCAGATGTTCTGGTTTCTCTTTTTTCTTTTTCAAAGACGGGGTCGGTCTCTGTCGCCCAGGTTGGGGTGCAGTGGCGCAGTCATAGCTCCCTGCAGCCTGGAACTCCTGGGCTCAAGCAGTCCTCCTTCCTCAGTCTCCTGAATAGCTGGGACTACAGGTGCGGGCCACCACACCTAGCTATGATATTTTGATTTTTTAAAAGAAGCTAAGAGCTGCATTTTTAAGCACAACTTCCAAATTTTTAAACGTTGGCAACAAATTTTTTAAACTTTCAACTTTGCACAGGCCAAACACAGCTTGTGTGTAGGCTGAAGGTGACCCTTGAGTTGCTAGTTTGCAAACCCAGGCTTAAACTACAGCAGCGGTTGAAGAGAACAAAGAGGTTCAGATTAGAGCAATGTGAAGGCAATAGAATCAGCACTACTTTATAAAGGACTGACTGTGGCAAGTGAGGGAGAAAGAGGGATCAAGAAGAACTCTGTAAAACTAATGACTCTATTAAAATAACATGGCTTTTAGGTATTTTCAAACTTGATAAGTGTTTTGGCAATTAAAGATGAAATGAAAGAGCCTCTTAAAGCAATTTATGATTTCATTTAGGTTAAAAAATACTCTTTCCAACTTTCTCATTTTCCTACTAAACCATTGTACTTTTTAAGAAAGAGGCAATATTACTCATTGGGATTTCTCTACCTTCTGTGTCTGTCTTCTCTTTTAGAGACGCAGTCTTGCTCTGTCACCCAGGCTGGGGTGCAGTGGCGCTACCACAGCTCAAGGCAGCCTCGACCTCCTGGGCTCAAGCGGATCCTCTCACCTCAGCCTCCCAAGTAGCTGGGACCACAGGCAGTGCCACTATGCCCAGCTAATTTTTTTTTTTTCTTTTAATGTTTGGTAGAGACAGGGTCTCACTATGTTGTCTGAGCTGGTCTCAAATTTCTGGGCTCAAGCAATTCTCCTGCCTCAGTCACCCAAAAAGTACTGGGATTACAGGCATGAAGCACCATACCTGGCCTTACTTCTAGTTCTATAAATGTATGAACTTTATTTTTTGGCATACAGTATAATCCCAAATTAACACTATATGATTTATTTATCTATCTATCTAGTTTTTTGAGACAGAGTTTCACTCTTGTTGCCTAGACTGGAGTGCAATGGTGTGATCTCGGCTCATGGCAGCCTCCGCCTCCCGGGTTCAAGCGATTTTCCTGCCTCAGCCTCCCAAGTAGCTGGGATTACAGGCATCCGCCACCACGTCCGGCTAATTTTGTATTTTTTAGTAGGGACAGGGTTTCTCCATGTTGGACAGGCCGGTCTCAGGTGGTCCACCCGCTTCATCCTCCCAAAGTGCTGGGATTACAGGCGTACTAAAAAATACAAAAAAATTAGCTGGGCATGGTGGCAGACGCCTGTAATCCCAGCTACTCAGGAGGCTGAGGCAGGAGAATCGCTTGAACCCGGGAGGCAGGGCTTGCAGTGAGCCAAGATCGCGCCACTGCACTCCAGCCCGAGCGATAAGGGCGAGACTAAAAAAGTAGTCAACAATCTCAGTATGGTTTTGTTTTCTTACGACTGTATCCTGCTAAATATAACAAAAATTTTAGTATTTCACATGGACATTTTTTTATCTTGTAATGATTAATTTTAAAGATAGTTTAAAAGTAATGTATGTTTTCCCCATATGTAGCATTTCTAAAAGTCTTTTAAGCCAATTT